TTTTTTTTTAACTGTACAATGCACAGTCACATAGTATTTTTATAAATATAACCATCTATTTTCGAAATAATATATAACCATGTGAAAAAATGGCGTTTTGGCTTATAAAAAAGTAAATTGTACTGCGCATGTACGTACCAATAGTTTAAAAATGTCCAGTTGTCTCATGCAATTTGATACTTCCTTTTAGCTCAAGAAATCTACATTAAAATTTAAGGTCACCGGGCTAAAATGTTTWGGGCTATTCTTAACTTGAACACAYTGTATAATATTATCTAATATAATAATAATATAATATAATAAACCTATAACATGGTTCGTTGAGAAGACCGATAAAAACAACAACAAACAATTCACACTTTACGAACAAGAATAAATTATGTATAATACAATGAAACTTAAAAATTATGACATTGATAATATAGTAGTTATAATAATTRTTGACGATTTCCAACTGTATTGCATGATGTTGTTAGATGTAAAATATAATTGCTCATACAGTTTCATGTTTGGCGGAATAGATTTATATAAAACAAAGTCTTAAACGGAACTTAGGACCGTTTATTAGATTTAAGAAATAATTAATATTATGTAGTTATATTATAACAGCTTTGTTGATCAGTTGAGTACGACTTTTTACTTGTTGCCGCTAAACAGTTGGTACTGAAAAGAACAATGAAAACAGTGAGTCAATMATTTTGTATAACATTGTGTAACGTTATACGCGTCATGATTATACATTATTTTGAAAACTTATACTAGAGATTTTGAAATAATATTATTTTAAGTATATTAAACATCATAGCAGTATATTAATTTAATARTATTCTTACCGGATTTTGCAAAGTGGATAACTGTTTCACTACTCCAGAACCTAGTTGCTGTAGAATACCAGTACTAGAATTATTCGAACATGTACTTTGTCTCCTGGACCGGAGACTGTTCATACTGGAGCTGAGCAAGTATGGAACGCTGCTGCTCGTGTTTGGCATACTACCACCCTTAAAAGGTACAAAATATCATTCGTTTTAGTATGTACCTGATATT